GCTTTGGCGGCGGCTGCGGCTCGGGGGCTCCCGCTACCACTGGTGCCAAAGCAACAGGAGACAGCTCAAGGAAGGGACCCACAGTGATTAGACCTTCGGGTAGGGTTTTTGAAGGATTTTTGGGGAATGAAGCTGGGGGGGGTGAGACCCCCCCCTGTATCCTCCACTTGCTGCTTTGGGAAAGGCCTGCAGGTATTTTTGCAAACTGGCGCCTGGCTGCCAGCACAAGCAGAGCCACAGGGTCGAGCTGGCATCCGAGGGGCAAATCCATATGGCCTCGTGCCCTGTGACCATGTTCGGGGTCCTCCCCGCATCCCCCCTCGCTCCCAGGACACTGAGCCAGTCCTTGTGCCCCCCCGTGCCTCAGTTTCCCCATGGCAGGAGGAGCCTGCTCCTGACCGCTCCATGCCAGTGCCTTTAGGGGATGTCCTTGGGGACCATCGCACCAACCCCACCACATCCTGCTGCCCAGGGTCAGGACGGGGCACGCGGTCGGGCTTACCCCCATTGCCCGCATCCAGGACAGGAGGCGGCTGAAATCAGTCCCCCAAAACTGCCTGGCGATTGCAGGGCAATTAGCTAACGGCGTGATTACAAGCAGCGTGCTTAATGAGGTTCAACCACTACCTGGGATTTCTGAGTTCTTAATTACCTACTTTTTAATTGCTGCTCTAAAGTACATTAATATAAATGACTGTCTGGGACAAAAAAAAAAGGCAAGATGCGATCTGTGTGAGCTAGGATGTTGCAGAAATACGGCCCTTTCCCAGGGCTCAGATCGGCTTCCAAATCCTCCAGTCCCCGCCGGCAGGGATTGCACCCATCAAAGTGCTTAAAAAAATACTTGTCTGCCAAAAGTGTTTTGTGCTGGGGGGGGCGGGTGGGCAGAGCCCCCTGCGCAGCCCCCCCTGAGCCTGTCTCTGCTCCGCAGCCTCGTGTTTCCGCTGCCTGGTGGACGTGGTGCCGGTGAAGAATGAGGACGGCGTCGTCATCATGTTCATCCTCAACTTCGAGGACCTGGCGCAGCTCATCGCCAAGAGCGCCAGCCGGAGCCTGCACCAGCGGCTGTCGCAGAGCTGGCGCGGAGGTGGGTGTCACCGGGGACGGTGGGGACAGCGGGAGGGCAACGCAGCATCCTCGAGGCTATCCCCATCCCATGGTTTTCTCGGGAGCTTGTGGGGGCTGAAGGATGCGCCCGTGGCAGGGCAGGATCCTGCGCCATGGGGCTGAGCCTCACAGAGGGCCCAGGAGCAGAGGTTTGTGTTTCTGCACAGCCGCAGCTCCGCCAGCTCAGGGTCTGATCCAGCCAAACACTAACTGGGTGAAAAGAGGGCTTTTGAGCCGGCTGTGCTCCCCGCACAGCCCCTTGCGTGCACGCTAGCCCACACACCCCTCCCGAACCCCCAGGGACCTGGGGACAGGGGTGGGGACCAACTCCCCCGCGTGGGATGGTGCATTTTTAAGGCGAGGGCGTCTCGGTGCGAGTGGAGCCGTGGGGCCCGTCTGCAGACCCCCTGCCTCTCTGCGTCCTTTCCATATTTAACGCTGGGAGGTTTTTCCGGTGGTGCCTCGGGCCCCTCCTGCGTACGTGCAGCACCACGTTGGCCGGGGCAGGAGGTGCTGGTATGGGACAGGACCCACATGTGTGGTCACCGGTAGGGCCAGGGGATATTTGGTGTCAATGACGGCAGGGCTGTGCTATGGGGACACCACCGCAGGCGAATGGCGTAAGGATGGTTGCGCTGGGATGGCTTTGGGCTGTTCCCCGCTGTCCCAGGCTCATCCCGGGGTTTTGTGGGGCTTTTGGAGGCAGTGGAAAATTCAAACTCCCTTTTTTGGGAAGGTTGGATCAAAGGGAGAGCCATGGTGAGGCTCTCAAGGGGATGTGGATACCCAAGGATGCAGATGTTAGACCTGACCTCAGGAAGGAGAGCTGTAGCTTCTAAATATCCTCCTGCTATATGCTCCTTGGTACCAGTCACCTATAGTTTAAGCAGGGAAATAATCTCACATACATCTTCATGCAAACACTCCCGGCGGGTGCGCGTCGCTATAGGGGGGATTTGGGCAGAGCTCAAAGTAAAGCTGTGGGAGCAGCCCGGGTCTGTCCCGCCACGGCATGTGGGGTGGCACAGCAGGACCGGGACCGGAGCCAGGGCCAGGGCCACATCGGGGACTGATGGGGACCCTTCACGCTGCCCATTGTATCGGTACGGTAATGTGGGTTTTAACACATTCACGGTCGGTGCGTATATACATCCCGGAGCCATTAAGGTGTTCGTGCGCGTGGCAGCGGGTACCAGCAGAGGTGCTGTGTGTGGTGACAGGTTTTACGTATCGTCAGGCCAGGCATACGCACACGGGACTTACGGACATATGCGTGTGAATGTATATGTATCCTGTGCATGTGTTCCTATGTCTATGAAGTGATGATATTTATATTTTGGTGTATTGCTGTAGTACCAGTTAGCATCTATGCATGGACTGCTGAGGAAATCCTAAATTCCAGCACCGGTGCTGCTTTGCAGCTCCCTCAGCCCTCAGTACATCTTGACATATGATGCATCCGTACCCCATCCCACCCCCGAGATGTACCTTTGACTGCGAAGGCACCCAAATAAAAAGGGTACTTATTGCTTTCCCCCGTGTTGGAGATTGCGCTGCGCATCCCGAGGAGCGTTGCTTGCGTTTCCCACCGTAGCACTGGGGAGCGCAGAAAGGCCAGAGCTGCCGGCGCCAGCCCAGATCGGTCTCTCGTGCACAGGTTTTCTGACTCAGTCTTTAATTACACGGCCACAGGCGGCTGCGTTGCCAGTCCCTGGCTCGCTGGTGCGCAGGGAAAGACGGCTGGTTTGCTTCTTCCAGCTGAAAAGCTGCTCTGGGCAGTGGGGATGGGGTGAGCAGAGGGAGCCCGCGCAGGTCCCCCCATCGGCAGGGGCATTTTTGGGGAGCTGGGCAGGTTGGGAGCCTGCCCGAGCGGCTCAGCGGTGTGTCGGGGCTAGGTGAGGGAGGCAAATCCTGCCAAAACCAAACAGCTCCTCAACATGCTGCTTTTGCATGAGCTTTGCAGAGCTCATGTCACGTCCCACGCGCCCCAGGATCCCTTCCCTGTGCCATCAAGAGGTATTGCCGCAAGCGGAGTGACAAAATGTAGGGAAAGGAAGCCACAGGAACACCTAATGCTAGATTTAGGCCACTTAATTTTTAATGTAGGGTGAAGCCGAGCTAATACAAACCTTGTCACCGCGTGGGGTTTCTCTGCCCAGCTCCTGCCTCAGGATCTCAGCTCACCAGCCCTGCCAAGGATTTGGCACTGGGGTTTGCCTGGGGAAGGTTTTGGTCCAGTTAGTGAGTACAACGTGTGCTGCTGGGGGTCGGATGAACCCCAGGGCTGACCCGGGCCCCGAGGCAGAGGGTGGGAGCCTGGCTGCTCACACTAACCCTATAGTAGCAGGTGGCCGTGGTCTCCTCCGCAGACCAGCACTAGAAGAGGATGAGTGACTTTGCACTGGGTGTCACGACCGGGGGCATTGGGTCCCGCTGTAGGCACTGCTGGTTCCTCTCCACGGCTGGCCCCTTTCCCTCCTGAACCCCTTTCACAGCTCCTTGCAGCCCCAGCTGCCCTTGCCTCGGCCCCAGGCTCTGGCAAGGTGGTCTCCTGGTCCCCCATGACGGCAGCAAGGGACCCCCCCCCTTTGGTCCAGCACCCCTGGTGTCACGACCGGGGGCATTGGGTCCCGCTGTAGGCACTGCTGGTTCCTCTCCACGGCTGGCCCCTTTCCCTCCTGAACCCCTTTCACAGCTCCTTGCAGCCCCAGCTGCCCTTGCCTCGGCCCCAGGCTCTGGCAAGGTGGTCTCCTGGTCCCCCATGACGGCAGCAAGGGACCCCCCCCCTTTGGTCCAGCACCCCTCAGCTAAAATGTGATGGCAGCAAAGGACCCCCCCCCTTTGGTCCAGCACCCCTCAGCTAAAATCCAGAACAACTCCAGGAAGAAAATTGCCAGAACTACTTTTTTTAATGCTTTGCTAACTTACCATCTCTTTTGCGTGTTTTTTTTCCCCCAAGTCCCACCAAAGAGTTTTAGAGGCTCGATTTCCTCCAGGTCCAAATCCCTTAAGTGGCTTTAACCTCTTTAACCGGCTTAGGGATGCTCTGCACCTTTCCCATCTTGTATCCGCAGTTGTAGGGGACTCTCCTCCCACCCAGCGGTGCTTTCTGCCAGGTCAGAGTTTGCCTTGAGCACACGGACATGTGATGGCACGGGAGTAGCAAGTGTGTTGGAAGAGGAAGGGCCACACGGCACGTACGTCCCCCAAAGCCACCCAAAATTCTCCGTAGCCTCTTCCCCTGCCACTGCCCCGACCCGTCTCGCTCCAGCTGTCACGTGCAGCTAGGTTACATCTGTCTCTCTTGTGTTTTGTTTTTCTTTTTAACAAGGTCAAGGTAGGAGGTTGAAGTTTAGTCTCCCGTCCGTGCGGCGACTCAAAATCCAGCGGAAATCTCTGCCCAGCAGTGAGTTTGATGGAGTAGCCATTGACTATGGAAAGGTAACCGTAGCCTTTGTCTGATATAAGCCCATGCCTCAGGCCAGGTCCCAGCGCTCTTCCTCCGCTCTCCCCATCCTGCTCCCTCTCAGCTGCTGTGGCTCGGGCCGTATCCGGAGGTAGGGGCTCCGGCGCTGGGTCAGTGCTGAGCACTGGCCCCGGCGAGGGCTGGTGGTGAGCGGCAGTGCTTTGGTGGCATGGGATAGAGCTAGGCGGTGCTGCTCCATGGGGTCAGCCCGGCGTGGCACGTGCCGTGGCTCGCAGGGGGAGTGGGAGATGTGCCAAGCCGGGGGGTACCGCTGCCAAAGCTGGGAGGAAGGTCTGGCTCCGTAGTGCAAGTTGTCCAGGATGGTGGAGCTCCAGGGAGTTGTCCCCACCCTGAGGAGGGGATGGGCTGGTGACTACAGGAGACTGGAGCAGGTCTGGTCTGAGCAGGGACTGGCAGGGACTTGCAGGCAAACCTCGAAAGGGCACATTTCCCCACGTTATCCTGGCAGGGGGCAGGTAGCGCAGGCAGCTCTGGCTTAGTCCTTCAGCAAAGACTGTGCTTTCCGTGATGGAGGGTGATGCTGTCATTGCTGACATGATGACACTGGAAAAATGTTGGTGGGACCTCTTTAGAGGTTGCTGTTCTTGGTGGCTTCTTGACTCTCAAAAGTGTTCAAGGTACCTCCGGGCAAAGACGTGTTGTTTTCTGAGATGCTGCAGCTTGAGGCGCAGGGCTGTGGGCAGGAGGCTTTTGCTCTGCTAACGCGTCCCCAGGTGCCAGGTTCTCGCTGTGCTGGGTGTATCCAGACAGCCTGGATAAAGCTGCTTCCCAAAATTACAGATATGATGAGGTGAAAGTTGCCTGTCTTCTCAGAGATTGTGCTTATGGCAAGTCGAAGACATCTGTAGTGTTATCAGATGCTCTGGGTATGTCGCTCCTACAGACACCAGCGCTGCTAAAGGCTCTGGGTACCCCCAAGTTGAAGCTGCGTGGTGCACTGCAATGTTTCAGGTGTACACGCATGGAATATGTGCATTGAGGACAACCTGATGACCTACCACTTTGGTGGGGCCTGGTCCAAGTCGGGGCAGCCCAGCAGACGCAGGGGCAGCCGGCAGCCAGCCCCTCCAGGCACCCCATCCTAAAACCTGCAATAAGGTCCTTAGGGATGGTGAGAAGTGCCACAGTGTGCCTTGGGCACGCACGCAAAATCCCAGTCCCTCCCGTGGGTATGACTGGTATGGGCACAGACCCATAGGTTTCTGCCACAGAAGGTGGTTGCTTTGTGCACCCCATTGCAGAAGCCGTTAAAGGCTGGAAACTCTTTAGGTCTCCAGGGAAAAAGGTTTAGCAATGGCCAAGGGGTGCTGTAGGAGAGGGAGGACCACATACGGCCCAATTTGCAAGCCCAGCAGCTCCTCCAGTGCTTCCTGGTGCAGAGCACATCGTCTCCCATAGACGCCAGCACAGGACCCCGGGCACCGACCCTCAGTGGTGGCCTGAGCTCTTGCAGCGGGTGAGGGAAGGGCAGGTCCAGTGGTGGGACGTAGGGACACCTCAGAAAAGTGCACGGCAAGGCAGGTACTCCAGGCAAGCCTATCCCTAGGGTCTCCTCTTCTCTTCTTGCTCTGGCCTGCTTCCCAGCTGCGCAGCATCGCCTTGCAAACCGCGCCGTGGCCGCCCAGCCTCCGGTAGGAGCTGGTAGGAGGTAGGAGCTGCCAAGTCCCCAGGGACTTGGTCGCCCCACCGCAAAGCAGGTCCTGGTCCCAGTTGGAGGTGACCTCAGGAACTATAGCGCTTCCCAGCCCTCTGCCCCCTCTTACCTCCCCCACCTCCCCCCCCCTCCCCCCCCCCCGCGCGGGCCCCCTCTACTCAAACACTCTCTCCTGGCTGTCTGAAAGCCTGGTGGTGACTCCCTGATTTTGAGGGACTTGAAGACATCGCCCAAGGAGAACTGTGTGCAGTCAGAGACCGAATCCCTCCTGGAAAAGGAGCGGAGGCCGAGCCTGGAGGCCGACCCCACCCTACAACACTCGTCCCCGAAACAAGAGCCTCCCTTGCTGGGCCCACGAGGGTCGTACTCTGCGTGGGGTTTCTTTCGGTCTCGCCCTGGGGGCAGCTTCCACAGCCTCCGCAGGGTCTCCTCCTTGGACAACTTTGAGGCTGCGAGGTCTGAGTTCCAGAGAAAATTCAGGGAAAGGAGGGCAAACTCAGGTAGGGGAAAAACCCCGGAGTTGTCGGTCCTACTGCGGGAGCCACGGTCCCGGGCAATGGCCCCGGCATGTCTTGGGGGGGAGGTCTCTTACCCTGCACTGCTTTTTCCCTCTGCTGGGCTCTTCTCCCCAAAACCCGCTGGTCTCCATGTGATTCCCTGCATAGGCAGGTCCTGCTCTTTGGGTAGAGCCATCCATGGTGTTGTGCGTGAGATGTGAGACTGCGTGAGGTTGCGTTTGGCTGCCCCACACGAGGGGCATCCCGATGCCGTCCCACCTCCCTGGGAGGGAGGGAAGGGGTCTGCAGGCATGTGCAATGTGAGCTGTGTCCATGTGTTGGACGTGGACAAGACACCGGGCAGGCCACTCCGAAGGGCTGGAGGAAACGTACCTCCACCATGGTGTTCACGTCCAGACCTCTTGTTCTCATGGAGCGAGATGATGACAAACAAGACGGAGGTCAGGCAGGAGAAGCCTCAGTAATTGGGGATGGAGAGAGATCAGTCTGCGGTGTCTGGCTTGAGAAAATGGGGTGGGGGATCATGATCCTCAAATAGTCACAGGTTACGGACCCTCAAGAGGGGGCACAACGTAGAGGGAGGGAAGGGGAATGAGCAGGGAGGAGAAGGGTGGCAGCAGGATGGCTGGTGCTAACCGGGCATCTTCACAATGTCTTCAGACACCTCCTGCCCGTGACACCTCTTGGGTCAATGTCAGTGCAAGGGATAGAAGGGGTAGAAAACTGAAAATATAACCCTGCCCTGCCTGTAGGAGATAGAGAGGTTGGGACACACTGGTTATGGTGCTTGGGGGATGTTCCTGAAGCCCTGGGTGTGGGTACATGCTCCCTTCCATGACTACACATTGCTACAAGCCTGACCATGAACAGACCGCTCTGGGGTCTCCTCCCTGGTCCTGCACTGGGGTGACCCAGAGAGGCAGGTCCCCAGGTCACCAGGGAAAACTGCCAGGATCCAGCCCCACTACAGCTCTCCTTCAAGAGAAAGCTCTGACCTCCCTACCTGGAGCCTGGGGGTGGAGGATACATCCGAATGGGGACATCATCCAGCTCCTGGCTCAGTTTGGTGGCCAAAAACCAAGGCAGCAGCTCAGGAGCTATGTTGGTCAGGCTGAAGCATGCAAGGGTGGAGGACACCCACCTACTCCTTCATCTGTTTTCATGCCAGTTTTGGCATTCCTCCTTGGTGGGTCTCTTTGGGGCTGGTCCCCAAACCTGCTACAGTCTTCAAGGGTAGCAAAGGATATTGGCTGCCTCTGTATTTTGGCAGTTGGTCTGAGCCCCCTGAAGGAGGTTTCATGGTGAAAAGATGGGTGATGTGTCTGAAAAGCAGCTCCCTCTCGGGCATCTCGGGTTGGGCATCCCACGTCTGAGCCACCCTGAAGAAGCCAAGCCTTTATGGCCAGGCAGACATTGGTACCTTCTGGTGGCACCTTGTGGTGGTCCCCAGCTCCTGGATGTCCTGCACTGAGGTCAGGGCTTTGCGGATTGGCTCCTGCTCACACTGCCCTTCTCAACGCTCCTCTCCATACTCTTTCAGAGGCTTCCCACGTCAAACCCAACCCCCCAAACTCCACCTCGGACTCAGACCTCATGAAGTACCGGACCATCAGCCAGATCCCCCAGTTCACGCTCAACTTCGTGGAGTTCAACCTGGAGAAGCACCGCTCAGGCTCCACCACGGAGATCGAGATAATTGCTCCCCACAAGGTGATGGAGCGCACCCAGAATGTCACCGAGAAGGTCACACAGGTACGTGGGTGCCGAGATGCCACCAAGGCAATGGTGGGGTGGTGGTGCTGCCGCCGGGGTACAGTCACAAGCATTCCTGTGGCTTTTGGAGGAGAAGAGCAGAGAGGGCAGTGATACCTGGAGTTTCCATCCTAGGAAATGCCAGTATCCCTGTGTTTGATTTTTATCTCTTCCTCTGAATGGTCGAAATGCTCTTTTTTCCCCCTAAATCAGTATTTCTGGTAATTTGTGGCCGGGGGAACACTGGCATGAACTGCTCATGGTGTGATGGTGGCCTTGAAGGGGACACACGCATGTGCATGTTTATGTGTACGTGTGGCTTCCTTCGTGGGGGAGGCTCTGGCCACTGTTTTCTGCGCCCCAACGCCAGGGATGGAGCCCCCGGGGCACCGCTGGCCCCGAGGCGCTCGGCCGGGGACCCCATGCCGGGAGCACGGGTGGCCACGCCAAGGGCCACAGGATCCCCTGGGAGACAGCAGGTGGGCACTGCACTGTCACCAACATGTGTGGCACTGCCCTGTCACTGCAGGGGACACTTGTGGCAGTGCACTGTCACTGAAAGGGACACGCATGGCACTGTACTGTCACCATGGGGGACACACGGATGTCAGTGTGTGTGAAAGGTGCTGCTGTATCCTGCAATCCCGAGTAGGGAGCTCTTACAAGTGGGGAAACTGAGGCACGGGAGAGCCACGATGTATGAAATACATCTAAGGGCACCTCCCAGCATTGCCAGCAGCAGCTGAGGGCCAATTTAATGAAAATGCAGCCATCTGACCCCAGAAAAGCCTCTGGGCTTGACAGTTTGCTCCATCAGAGCGGGATGGTCTGTGGGATTTTCCTCCTGTCTCGGTGCCAGCAAACCTTTACCCTCATGGCTTCCGTGCACAGCAGACGGGCTCCCCGCTCCCCATGGCACGGGGCAGTTTTTAGGCTTGTTATCCCCCTGGCTTGTCCTCCTCATCCCGAAGTCCGCTTAGTCCATCTGATCTGGGAGTGACCACAGCGACCCAGGATCAGCCCCTGAACACCCCAGCAGGACAGCAAGCAGCCTCCATGCCCCTGTCCCCATCACAAGGGACACCCACACACCGGGGACCGCTGCTGTGCGCTGGGGTGATGCTGGCACGGTGGCGCCGGCCACTCGATGTGGGGTCATCAGCCAGTTGAGGGGTGACAGGATCGGAGCTGAAGGGTGGTGGCTGCAGGGCCCCGCGGTGCAGCCGTGGGGCACCCACAAAGGTCAATCTTCCCTTCGCCTTAAATCTCCAGACGGGATGGGATGGGACGGGATGGGACGGGATGGACCTCTCCTCCCGGCCACATCTCCCCATGGCCTCAGGGGACCCAGGCGCCCTGCCCGTCCTCACCCCGACGTCCCCTGCACCTCCTGCCAAGTCACGGCTCCCTGCTCTTGGCCGCTAAATAATTCACGGGTGAGGCAGAGACAGCAGTGAGACGCCACTAACAGCGTCTAAAAATACTGGCTGGTGGGCAGGGAGAGGCAGACATAGGCTGGTCGGGGTGGTCCGGCCCCACAGCGAGCAGGCAGGGAGGGCAACTCACAAGTGCAATGAATGTGCCAGGCTCAGCCTGCCAGGGCTGCGGCTCCGGGGCACAGCTGGAGGCACATGGGGACACTGTGGGGTCGGTGCCACCAGGCTGGGGTCCTATCTTGCAGGTGGCACCTCTCCCAGTCCCCCTGAACTGCCCCGTGGGCAGCGGATGGTGGTGGAGCTGGGCAGGAGGGTGCTGGGGACAGCGATGGGAGGGCTGAGTTTGTGTCAGGATATGTGCTGGGAGGGACACTGGGTCAGTGCTTGCCTACAGCCAGCACCATGGGCCTGATCCTGCCCAGCCCCTTGTTCTTGAGGGTCTCCTGGTGACTCTGGCATGGCCCCCCTCCCCAGCTCAGTGTCCCCCTCTCCATCCCCATCCCCAGCACGGGGCAAGGGAGGAGGAAGGTGCATGGCCACCGGGCCCCGCGGGGCACGAGTGACGGCCTGGGTTAGCCAGGGCCGTGGGAGCCTCCCCCCTCCATCACCCACAGCCTGCACACACCCTGCTCCCTCCTCCCTCCCTCCTCCTCCTCCTCCTCCCTCCCGCAGCTGCCTCACTCCCTCCCTCATTGCCCAGCACCCAGCACCCTGCTGCCAGCACCCAGCACCCCACACCATGAGCCTGCGGCTGCAGCTGAAGCCACTAAAGGCAGGGGTAGGGGGGGGCCACCCAGACCACCCAAGGGTGCCACCTGGAGCCCTCCCCGTCCCTGAGGTGCAGAGAGGTACGAGGCTGCAGCTGCTCCCTGCTCTGTGTTGGTTTGGGTTGGGGGTTGTTTCTCTTCCCTCTTCCCCCCCCCACCCCCACCCCCAGCCCGGGGCAAGGGAGAAGGAAGGTGCATGGCCACCGGGCCCCGCGGGGCACGAGTGACGGCCTGGGTTAGCCAGGGCCGTGGGAGCCTCCCCCCTCCATCACCCACAGCCTGCACACACCCTGCTCCCTCCTCCCTCCCTCCTCCTCCTCCTCCTCCCTCCCGCAGCTGCCTCACTCCCTCCCTCATTGCCCAGCACCCAGCACCCTGCTGCCAGCACCCAGCACCCCACACCATGAGCCTGCGGCTGCAGCTGAAGCCACTAAGTGCAGGGGTAGGGGGAAGAGGGAAGGGGCACCCAGCGGGATCGCCACAGGGGGCACCCGGCACTGCCACCCGCAGAGACTCCCAGGGCCACCCAGACCACCCAAGGGTGCCACCTGGAGCCCTCCCCGTCCCTGAGGTGCAGAGAGGTACGAGGCTGCAGCTGCTCCCTGCTCTGTGTTGGTTTGGGTGCTCTTTTGGGGGTTGTTTCTCTTCCCTTTTCTGCCTCAAATCTTTGGGGTTGTGGTTTTCTATTAATTCCTGCCTGGAAAACAATGGGGCTTGACCTGCTCTTGCTTCTGCCACAAGAGCTGGGTGCCAAGAGCAGGGATGAGGGGCAGGGCAGGTGTCCCAGCATGGGGAGCAGCATTTGGGGGCCCGAATTCAGGACTGGCCCCACAGAGCTGCCTCCGGCCAGGCAGGACGGGGGGATTCAGCTGCTGAGGGTGGGAGCGTTGCTGGTTTTCCCAGACACAAGGTGTAGGAGCCTGTCTCAGGTCTGCTGGGCACGTCTTAGCTTTGGGACCAAGCGTCTTACCGGCATCGCCTTGTCCCCTTCCCCGCCGTCCCCGCGGGAGCCGGTCCCCAAGCCCAGCTGGTGCCTCATTCCCCTCCGCAATGATTGCATTTGGGTCACTTTTTCCAATCCCTCCCCTCTCTGTCCGCCAGTGACGTCGGCAGCTCCCGCTGCCCCATTGGCGCTCTCATCCCCACGGGGGCCACAGCATCGATCGGGTTTGATTAATCCACGCCGTGCTCCCAAATGCCCTTCGCAGCTTCATGTCTCCCACCCGCCCGGCCGAGTGCATGTGTGCCTGCGTGGGCAATGCCGCAGCCCCAGTGCTGTGCCTGCCGTGCCGGTCACTGCCTGGGCGCAGGGTTGGGGGCCCCCAAGGTGGACACCCAGACTTCGAGGGTCAGCTGCCGCCTGGGGCGCCGGGCAAGCTGCAGGCAGGTAGGAGCCGGGGACACCCCCAGGGCGTGGGATCCACTGAATGTCCCGGGGCTGCGGGATGTGGGAGCGGCTGCTCATGGTGGGATGGGGCTGCGGGGCTGGATCCACTCTGGGTTGCAGCACCAGGAGCCCCTGGGAAGCCCTTGAACCCTTGAACAAGACGGGTGTCAGTGCAGGAAGAATCAGGCCCTTCTCCCAGATCTGTTGCCAGAATCGTGGTGGTGCCCATCACCGTGGCCTCGGGGCACGTGGAGCCTCCTCTCTCCTCTCCTTTGCAGCCCTGCAAAAAGCACCCTTTTAGCTGGGGGCTCGGTGTGCGGAGAGGGCACTGAGGTGCCCCTCGCCCTCCTCCGCAGGAGGCACTGATGGCCAGCACCGCGGGGACACCCAGGGGACAATGGAGCAGCAGGGGCAGGCAGGGAGGCTCCGGCTGCCCCCAGCTCCAAATAAGCCCCTTCACACCACCGTCTCTCAGCATCCAAAGCAGGACAGCCCCAGCCTTCCTGGTCGCCAGCACCTTGCATTGTGTCCCCAGGGTGGCTTCAGAGCTCACCAGGAGCCGGCGTTGATCCTGGAGGGGGGAGCTGGGATGTGTGGGGACTCACTGGTGCCGTGGGAGCCTGTCCCCATGAGGGCAGACAGACCTAGGGACACATGACAATATGGGAGGGTGCCTGCGCATATGAGATGGCCACATTGGTGGCTGCAGGTCACCCCTTCCCTGGGGCTGCTCAGATGGGAAATGGGCGTATGAGATGGCGTTTGTACATTGGTGGCCACAGGTCACCCCCTCCCTGGGGCTGCTCAGATGGGAAATGGGCATTGCCTGAGGCCAGGCTTTGCTGTGGGTGGCCCAAGCTGTCCCCTCTGCTTGGAGGACATCTGTGCCAGAAGGACAGGGGAAGGTCCCCGCTGGGGCCAAGAAAGGCACCGTGCAAGGCTTGCGGGATGCCTAACGTGCCATCACCTTTGGGGCCAGGCCATGCTACAGCCATGGGACTAGACCTCCAGGCTTGTTGTGCCAGAGACACCCAGCAGCTCCTGGGCTGGTGGCACACAGCTGAGGGCACAAGGAGGCATAGCAGGAGGCATTTTCCTCCCTGCCAGCGTGGTAGGGTCCGAAAGGCATAAAGCAGGTAAACACTTGCCCCAAGGGTGCACTGGCCATTAGAGATGGATGAGGAGCCGGGCAGACCTTGATGTCAGCCATAGTGGGCAACTCACCTTGTGGCCTCCTGGACAAACACACATGAAGGCGACAAAGGTGAAAAGGATGTAGGAAACCCACTGCATGCTCCTCACTGCCCCACCAGCACATGGGAACCCCTTGCCTGGCTTCTGGCCTTATCCAACCTCTCTCCCGTCCTCACACCCATCTCCTGGCAGGTGCTGTCCCTGGGTGCTGACGTCCTTCCCGAGTACAAGCTGCAGGCACCACGCATCCACCGATGGACCATCCTGCACTACAGTCCCTTCAAGGCTGTGTGGGACTGGCTCATCCTTCTGCTGGTCATCTACACAGCTGTCTTCACCCCCTACTCGGCTGCCTTCCTGCTCAATGAGGAGCAGGTGGAGGAGAAGCACTGGGACTGCAGCTATTCCTGTGACCCACTCAACATCATTGACCTCATTGTGGACATCATGTTCATCGTGGACATTGTCATCAACTTCCGTACCACCTACGTCAACATCAACGACGAGGTGGTGAGCCACCCTGGCAAGATTGCCATCCACTATTTCAAGGGATGGTTCCTCATCGACATGGTCGCCGCCATCCCCTTTGACCTGCTCATCTTCCGCTCTGGCTCTGATGAGGTACAGGCAGGGCCTGGAGGTCCATCAGGAAAGGAGGGGACTCATGAATGGATGGGGAGAGATGTATGGGAGAGAAAGAGAGGGATATGGAAGGCTTGATATAAGCAGTGGATGGTTAGATCTGCAAGGAGGGGGGTGGTTAGTCAGAGGGACGGGCAAGGATGTCATTACAGGTTTTTATTAAGCAGCTGGGACCTGGGATTTTATTTAGTAGGGTCAGACAGCCACACAGACCCTACTGTAAGTGCTAAGATAGTGTCTAACTGGACCCACTCCCCTTGCTGGGGCTGACCCCACAGAGCAGGCTGGGAGCTCAGTTTAGGGACTGGCCTCACATGCCAGCGAGGCCGAATTTGGGGTCGCATTGCCAGCCAGACTCAAAATGTTGGCAATGGGATGGCCCCTGTGGTTACTGCGCTACCCGGAGGTCCCACCTCGGCTGAGAGCCTGTGGGATGGGGTGAAAGGCAGCTGTTTTGGGAGCAACAGTTGGCAAGGTGAGGACCCATCAGGAAACATGGGGTTGGCCTTGGCTCTTCTCACTTGCTCACCTGTAATCCCAGGGCTTGTTCCCTTTATGGTCAGCGGAGGGAAACTGCCCTTTCTGTGGCATGATTCATCTAACCTATTTCAGATGTCACCTCCAGGACAAGGTGATTCATGCTCTAGAAGTGCATTTTTATCCTTCAAAGGGAGCACGGCTAGGCTGGAGACATGCCTTTGGCCAGATTTATCTTCTGCTTGTCCCTGAGGTTTCTCACCTCTCCCTTGCAGACCACCACCCTCATTGGCCTCCTGAAGACCGCCCGGTTGCTGCGCCTGGTCCGCGTGGCCCGCAAGCTGGACCGCTACTCCGAGTATGGAGCAGCCGTGCTCTTCCTGCTCATGTGCACCTTTGCCCTCATCGCCCACTGGCTGGCCTGCATCTGGTATGCCATCGGCAATGTGGAGAGGCCCTACATGGAGCACAAGATCGGCTGGCTGGACAACCTGGGTGACCAGATCGGCAAGCGCTACAACGACAGCGACCTCTCCTCTGGCCCGTCCATCAAGGATAAATACGTCACTGCCCTCTACTTCACCTTCAGCAGCCTCACCAGCGTGGGGTTTGGCAACGTCTCACCCAACACCAACTCCGAGAAGATCTTCTCCATCTGTGTCATGCTTATTGGCTGTGAGTGCTTGCCCGTGTCCTGCTGTCCCCATCCCTGCCTTGGAGGTTGGAGGGGCTGCTCTGGGGAGAAACAAGGAGAGACCTGCCAGGCTGTAGCATGTGGGGTTTTAAGAGAGCATCTCTCCCTCTGCCTGTGCCTCTTCTGCACAGACAAACGGATGGGGAGATAGATAGAAATATGGATTTCAGAAACCCACTGGTTTCAAGTCCATGGTAGATACGGGCTCTGGAAACCTGCTGGTTCCAGGTCTGAGGTAGTTGGACATGTATCTCCCCACGTCCTGCTGAGTCCTGCCCTCTCGTTGCAGCTCTGATGTACGCCAGCATCTTCGGCAACGTCTCCGCCATCATCCAGCGCCTGTACTCAGGCACAGCCCGCTACCACACACAGATGCTGCGGGTTAAGGAGTTCATCCGCTTCCATCAGATCCCCAACCCCCTGCGCCAGCGCCTGGAGGAGTATTTCCAGCATGCCTGGTCCTACACCAACGGCATCGACATGAATGCGGTGAGTACAGGGCAGGGAAGCCCCATGTCTTCACCGCACCTTGTCCTGAACGACCCGGAGTCCAGCTCTGGGTCCACCCAAACACTTCCATCCTTTCGACCAGGGTGGAGAGGAGGCAGGAAAAGACTCGGGAGGCTGGAGACAGAGTCTGTCTGCCCATCTGCCTCCTGCGTCCCCCCTTCTCCTTCTCCCCCTCTGTCTGTCCATCCCTCCACATCTACCCAGAGGTCTTCTGAGGCCATGACGGCATTTCTTGGCTGGAGAGCGGGTTTGGTGCCGGCATGCTGGTGAGGAGCTCAGAGCACCTGTCGGCACCGAGCACTTTCAGGTCGGTGTCTGTTGGTGTCACAGAGACGCGGAGCTGGTATCGATCCAGCTCCTCTCCACACCGCTGGTTGCTAAGCAAAGTGCATCCCGCTCTCGGCAGCAGGGAAAGGAGGGCATTTAAATAAACCTCGATCCATTTTAATTAGAGCCCAGAGAGGCGGCTGTTTGTTAGCAAAGGGGGGATCAATGGCGGAGCCGCGCTGGAGAGGCGCCGTGTCTCTGAGCCCGGCAGGGATGCTTGTGCCAACGGCGCTGGGGCACCACGGGGGTGAGGAGGGGGCTCAGCCAAGGAGTCCCAGGCTGTGGCCGGGGTGGCAGGACTCGGCTGACGGCCGCAGGGTCCAGTGCACAAACATACTGGCTCAGCCGGCTGCAAGGCAGAGAGAGGAATGAGAAAGGACAAGGCAAGGAGAGAGATGGGACCTGGTACTCCCCGTCTCTCGGCCCTGGGCAGGCCGTTAGCCTGCTCATTCCCAGCTCATGCTCCCTTTTTTCCTAAGACTTGATCCTTCTCCGTCCCTGGGCACTATCAGGACATGGATTTGCATGAATTCAACCTTTCCATCTTCAGCTGCTGCTGCCTCGTTAAACAACTGGGCAGCATTTGGGGGTTTGCTACTGGGAGAGCTTTGGGTTAATCCTCTCCCATGGAGGAGACACCCTGGGCTGGACATTGGTGGCAGGTGACATAACTAGAAGCAAAGCCATGGCACCCTACCAAGCACAGGTTCTCCTGGCTTAGTGCAAACCCAGGTCACAAATCCCCTGCGACGAACTGAGCTGGCGGCTTGGACATGCCGCCATTCACACCGATTCCTGCTGGATGCTGCTGAGACACAATATGATCTAATCAATCATCCCATGGCCCGATCAATTCATCCGCCCCTGATTTCCCAGTAGGGAAACTAAGGCACTGCCGCCAGCCTGTGAGATCGTGACGGAGCCGGGAATGAGCCGCACTCACTGGGCCCAGCCTGGTTGTCCCAGATTTGGCCACCAGCGGGATGTGAGAAGAGAGCAAGGGGGACCCCACGGCCATACGCTGCTCTCCAAAAAAAAACCAAACCCAGGTTGATTTTACCCTCACACCATGAGCCATCGGTGGCAGCAGCTTTCTCCATATTGTGAGTTTTACCTTGATTTCACCTTCAGATTTAGTTTTTGTTCAACGCGAGGTATTTGCCACGGGTATATTTAGCTGTTGCTGCACACAACTGGCCCGTGCTGCTTCTTGGCATTCAGGCAGGTGCTGTTTAATTAGGACAGCACCTCATTACCAGTTTGTGCTCTCATTCAGCCAAGATTAGTGGGCGGAAAGATGAAAAGGGGGATATGCCACCAGTGGGTATAAATAGATTGATCTGGTTATTATTATTTACTGCTCAGGAGCACTCTCATCCCCAGCCGCCTGCAGTACAAGCCAGGGACAGGCAGGCAGGCATCCACCAAGGGAAGATCAGAAGATGTCCCCAGCTTTGGCTTTCTGGGCTCAGGGTCTCCCCATTTGGCCTCGCTGTGTCACACTGCATGTCACCCAGCCTGCCTGGGCTGCCATGGCGGTCCTTCCCAGAGACCATGGCATGATGGCATCTCTCCCTCACCCTCCACAGGTGCTGAAGGGCTTCCCTGACTGCCTGCAGGCAGACATCTGCCTCCACCTCAACCGCACACTGCTCCAGAACTGCAAGGCTTTCCGAGGAGCCAGCAAAGGCTGCCTACGCGCCCTGGCCATGAAGTTCAAGACGACTCATGCGCCGCCCGGAGACACCCTGGTGCACTATGGAGATGTCCTCACCACACTCTACTTCATCTCCAGGGGCTCCATTGAGATCCTCCGGGAAGACATTGTGGTGGCCATCTTAGGTGGAAAAGTCCTTCCTTCTACGAGGGCGAGGGGCAATGGGCAAGGGGCGAAGGGTGATGGGTGAAGGGTGATTAGGTGATGAGCAGTGCACAAAGGGTGGCAGGTGAGAGGTGAGGGACTTCTCCATGTCCTGGAGAAGGGAAGGCTGTTCCTCAACATCTGGCCGGTGACTGCACCAGTGGACAGGGGCTGGAGGATCCCCTGTAAATGCCAGGGAGAGGGCACAAAGGAGTGAGGAGAGCAGGGTATGGCTCAGCAGTTCCCAGCCATCACTGATGACCCACTGCCCTGGCTCAGTCTCCCCATCAGTGATGGCTTGCATGGTGTAATCCCCAGCGTCCACAATCAGGGTTGGGGTTGCTGGGCATCCCCTTGTCCAAAGTGAGGTCTGACGGTCCAGTACATCTGGAACTGGGATGGGTCCCCACCTCCCCCTAACGAGCTGTCTGTTGGCACAGGGAAGAACGACATCTTTGGGGAGCCCATCAGCCTCTATGCCCGCCCAGGGAAGTCCAATGCTGACGTGAGGGCCCTGACCTACTGTGACTTGCACAAGATCCAGCGGGAGGACCTGCTGGAGGTCTTGGACATGTACCCAGCCTTCTCTGACAACTTCTGGAGCAACTTAGAGATCACCTTTAACCTGCGAGATGTGAGTGCCAGGGCTGACCCAGGGAGGGATGTGGTCAATGCCTTAAATTTGGCAAGTGGGAGGGCTGAAGCAAGGATGTCAACAGGTGCTCCTCACTCAGTTTGGTGGTGGATTGGCCAACAGCCACTTTTCCCAAGGCACTCTCCATGGGGTTATGGTTTCCCCCACAGCCCAGCAAGCACATGCATACTGCACGTTCCTGAGCTCTTCGGAAAAGTTGGCCCCACAAGCCGTGTCGGTAGTACCCTGCTCTGCAGCACCTGTAAATCATCTCCAGGACTGCTCCAGCCTGGGCAAGTGGGTCACACACGTTTTGAGGCTGCTGAAGTGAGAAATATTCCCAAGCTTCATTGAGTTGGGTACCAGCTTCCTCTGAAAATTCCTTTTTAAATAATCAGGTTTGCAATCCATTAAAGGCTTGGAGCATTTTTGTCATTGCTGTTTGAGTCTTAAACTTTATGACTGGACTTTGTCCTTTCCTGATATTTTTTTCAGAGACACTTGCCTGGTAAGATAGAAAAGAAAGTCAAATTCCCTCTGTGTCCTGTCCCACTCCAGGACATCCTGCCCCACCTCAGGCTGCTCCTTCCCTCCCCATGGCCCTGACACCCTCAACTCAGTCTCAGAGCACCAAGGCCAGCCTCTAGGATCCCTCGAGCTATGCCACCAGTCCAGGAGTCACTGGGTGGGACAGGGCAGTGATGGAGAGGCAGAGCTGGAGACCAGCCCTAGGAGGATGCTGAATGGGCTGTAGCCCCCAAGGCACCCAGGGCCATGGCACCCATGGATGGGACGTGGCACCTATGGATGGGACATGGCATCCATGGATGGGCCTTGGTGCCCATAGATGGGACATGGCACCCTTGCCCTGGTGACCAGCCCCTCTCATCCCTCAGGCAGACAGCATTCCCCGCTCACCACTCAGCGAGGAGTATGACTGCACCTACCGGCGGGCACGCCGACGCAAGCATTCCCTTTGCCAGCCCAACAAGCCTGGTGAGTCCCACAGCGTCGGTAGAGCCCGGCTTGCGGGGCTGCGGAGCGGGATCATCATTTAATTACTGCCCTAAAGCAGAGGCGGCCATCAGTGCCTCTGTCCCTGCAGACCAGCCTGTATGTCCCCACTCTGGGGACACCCACGCTGCCTTTCCCTCCCTCTCCTTAGGATGTCCCAGCCCTACAGGCGCCCTAGAGGTGATGGGGGCTGATTTTGCCATGTCGTACTCCCCAGATTAACCTGTTGTGCTGCCCCACAGACCCAGACGCGGGCATCTCTGATGCAGAGCAGTATCACACCTACTCAGAGCTCACCAACCCGCAGGACCCGCTGAGTAAGGACCAGTGGGACGACCTGGGCAGCAGCACCACTCCCTGCTCCCAGACCAGTGATGACGAGGCCAAGACTGGCAGCCCTACGAAAGCTGAGCCCTTCCCCACATCCAAAAAGGATGACTTTGCTTTGCCCGCGCTCAGCCTTGTCACCACCAACGCCAGCGGCACAGAGGTCAGCAAGCAGGCAGCGGAGAGCAGCCAGTCCTACGCAGGTACCCACAGCTGCAGCCAAAGCTGGCAGGAGGGTGGCGAGAGATGCTCAGGCATGGTGGCCTTGATTTGGGGCAGAGCGGAGCAACTCACGCGAATTTGAGGGGAGCCATGCTTGTGGCCAAGGGTCTTTGCTGCCTTTTGTCCTCAGTAGTATCTGCTCTGTCCCTCCCGTGCCCTGCAGTTTCTCCTAGCACCCAGGGACCCCTTTGGGGCTGCCCCAAGGGGCCAAATGCTATGTGCCTTCTATAGGCGCGTTGGGTGCCAGTGTGATGGACTGTCCATGAGCACCTTGGGTGCCAGGGTGATGGATCCCCATAAGCACCTCAGGTGCTAGGGTGATGGACTCTCCCTGAGCACCGTATATGTCAGGGTGATGGCTCTCCATGAACATGTTGGGTGATGGACTCTGGAGCATCTCCATGAGAGTGGGGCTGGGGGATGCAAGACAGAAGGGCTGAGATGTCTCCTCTCCTTCCAGACACCCCCCTGGACATCCCCAATATGTTCACCTTCTGGGAGGACCGAAGGCCGAACCACCACCCGGAGCCTTTGCAACACATGTCCTTGGTACACAGCTCACGGGACATCCCCCTGCACAGCGACTACAGACCAGGGCAGATCGAGTCCAGGCTGGAGCTCCTGCAGGCCCAGCTCAGCAGGTGGGCAGGTGCCCGGGGCACAGGGTTGGAGAGCACACAGGGGGGCTCTGGGCCATCACCTTCTCCTGCTCTCCAGGGGTGGCTGCAGTGGGTTCTGCGTGCAGCAGATGCCACGTCCTGACCCCCTGGGACGCTGCATTCCTTGGGGAGGTGGTGGAAGCACTTTGCAAATGCAGCGGCTTCTCAAACTGCAAGTCCTGGCCCTGGCTGCAGCCCAGCACCTTGTCTGCCGCTGTCCCACCACACCTGGGATCTGCCGCTTTGCCGCTGCCTCCAAACTCGATGCAACCGCAGACATGAAACCACCCACAGGTTCATGGCCTGAGCCCTTTGCAGGCCTCTTCTTCCTGTTGCAAAGAGCTGCAAACATCCTCTTGCTCGAGCAAATGAGCCTCATGCACGTTGTTGCCCTCTAAATAAGAAAAAAGACATGATTTCTGAATGAGAAGGAAGAGCCCACACCAGAGACACAGGTTTAAAGGCCCCAGGCAGCACCCACATGAGCGGCTGGCTCTCCCACCCACGGCTGCTGCCCATGTTAAGCTCACTTCACCACAGTGCCCACACACATATTTTAGTGTCTCACCAACGTGCCATCCCCGGCAGCAGGGGACAGATCTCCTACCCACTCCGTAAACATTGCCAGGACCGTTGCCTGCGAGGGGTCTGTGCCCACTCCTGCCAGAGCTGCTCGTTTCAGTCAAGGACAAGGCAAAAGGAAGGGACTTATTCTACTTTTCCATTTCCTTCTGTTCCTCAGTTAAAAATGGTTGGCACCAAACCTGCCTTGCTCCCATCTGTTAGCACAGGCAGCTGGCCTGGAGAATTGATCCAGATTACAACTAACCATTGCAATTTTTGCCCCCTCTGGCATAGTTTTAGCTTTGTTCAGTTCCCCGCTCCAGATCCCAGTTTGGCTCCACAAAAAATTGGGCAGGGGATGATTGAGTGTGGCAGGAGAGAGGCGGCAGGATTGATCTCTCTGTGGCAGTGCTGGTGTGAAGCTCTCTGAAAGCCTCACCAAGCAGCACCAGGCAAAGCATCATCACCCTCGGGCAGCTGTATCGCCGCCTCCTCCCCAGCGCCTCCCCTGCCCAGCCGCGGGTGCACTGCACAATGCCGGGCTGCTCTGTCCCCAGGCTGGAGTCCAGGATGTCGTCAGACAAATCCTCCAGCTCCTGCAGCCTGCAGCCAGCCGCGGGTCTGGCTCTCATGGGATGCAGTGGGATGCACTGCACTAATGCCGGGCTGCTCTGTCCCCAGGCTGGAGTCCAGGATGTCGTCAGACATTAATATAATCCTCCAGCTCCTGCAGCGCCAGCTGTCCCAAGTGCCGCCCGCATACAGCCCCATCTCGCCGTCCTCCCACAACCTGGCGATGTACGGCATCCTCCCGCGGAGCCTGGAGCCGCTCACCCCCTGCACACCCCTGGAGGACGAGGAGACGATGACCCCGGAGCAGGTAAGGCCATCCCTCCTGGCTCAGCACCGGCCGAGCTTCCTTCTGCCCCAGGCAGATGGGTCCTGGAGGGCCAGAGGTTTCCTCCAGCCTCCCTGCAGGCAAAGCACGGCCAAGTGTTCGTGGGTCCAGGCAAAGCCCAGGGGTCTTGAAATGGGAGTAGATCTACCTAGAGATGCTTCTGCCCAGTGTATCGCTGATTTTGGAGCACAGCCTGCCATCTCCAGCACTACCAGGTTGCCCCATCTGTAGGGAGGGGAGTGGGTTCCTCTGCTCTGAGGCTTCCTCAGGCAAAAAATAACATTTTGGGGCTTAGGGCCTGATGGGGTGAGGAGAGAGCGTGGCTACTTTGTTTTGCTTTTGCCATAACCCACCTGGTTCCTCCTTTCCCACCAGAGCCCAAGCTACACGGAGGTAGAAAAGTTCCACTTGAAATCCAGGGACTCCTTGTCAAGTGGGATGCACCTCGCTGTGGCATCTGATGAAACCATGACGGTCTACTCTGAGCAGGAGCACCATTCCCCACCTCTCCCGAACCCAGAGCCTCCCCACCAAAGGGCAGCAAATACCCAGGGACTCTTCTGGGGCTCTCGTTTCCCTTCCCTCCCTGAGCACTTGGAGGCATCTTCCGAGCACCAGGACATTCAGAGACACCTCTCCGACCCAGTGCTTCCTGGAAGTTAGAGGTGTGGGGGCTGCGAAGCAAGTCAAGAGGAACCTCAACTGCGAGCTCGGACAGTTGATGTTGATTTTGACTGCAAGGGTAAGACAGAGGACAATGCCATTGGCTCAGGGGTATAATTTATAGCTGTCTTCTGCCACCGTGAAAGGAAGCGTAGAGTGGCTGGCTTCCAAGGTCAACGTTTTCCAGCAGTTCCCATAGAGTAGATTTCATTTGCCCATTATAGTGAACCCAGAGCAGTTCTTTCTTACGGCCACCAACAAGCTGGCTAGGCCAAACGGTACCCACCGCCTCTTCCTTGCCAAGGCTTCCTCTCGAGAACAGCGCAAGCCAAGTGAGCCACAGCAACCGGAGGACAGCAAATCCACAGCCCTTAGCTGTGAGGCCACTTTGCTGTCAGCTCTTTGGAGCAGGGACCATTGCATTGGTACTGGGCTTAGTCCAGCGGAGCCTGTGGGCATTACAGAAAGGGTAGTCACCAGAGGAGGAGGAGGAGATCTCCACAGTGTGGCACTGGGGGGAGCTGCAGGTGGGAAGCCCAGGACAAGGACCGAGGACAGAAGCTATCCTTGTCCTACTTGACTGCCACTGAGAAACTAAGGGCCAACAGCTCCTGCCACTTCAGCATGCTTCAGCACGAGTCCTAGGGCACTGACTTCTCCAGCAAGGCTGATCGCGCCTTGCAAACCCCAACACACATGCCACAACTCCCCAGATAAACCTAACTGGTCACCGGCCTGGGCATAAAGCACAAAACTCAAAAGCACAATCCTGGAAAGCCGAAAAGCCCCAGACACCTCATCTCCAGCCCTTCCTCCCAGCTTCTCTCTTTTGATAAAGGTTTGATAGATGCTTCCTCCTCCCCAGCCCTTTCCCCGGCAAACTCCCACAGCATCCCCCGTAGGAGAAGCCCACTTAGCACTGCCGCCTTGCCATTCGGTTAGATGCTGTGACAGTCCTAGGCCGCCTGCTCAAGTAATGTATCGAGCTCCCTTTGAGAGTAGTAAAACTGTGAGCATCTCTTTCTCTGGAGTTTTAGTGTACACTTTGCTAATAAAGATGTTTTTGGCACCTAATGCGGATTACAGCTGTGTTTGTTGGGAGCAGCCGTGAATTCATCCCTGGCAGTACAAAGCACAGGTGCTAATCTGCAAAGACCCCTGAAAAGGCTGTGGTCAAACCCCAGTTTCTTCATCCAGGGCCCACGTGCAGGTCTTACAGGTCAAGGATGGGGCCTGGGGGGTGGGGGGGGCTTTGCTGAGCAATTCCTTCCCAATAGGATGCAGTTCAGATTCAGCAGAAATTTGCAAAAGCTTTTGTACAAGACCAGCCCGCTGCTGTTCTCCGGCGTATGAGAAATGACCTCGCAAACAGACCTCAGACAAAGATTACACCAAGAGTCCTTGCAGCAAGCGGGACTTCAGATGAGCACAGCGATACCTAGAGCCCAACCTACATCCCTTGCTGAGGGGGACACAGCTCCTGTCCAAATGGGACTGCTCCTTCAGGAGGGCTAGACCCAGTATCACCCATAATGGATCCCATATGGCTGCCGAGAGGCGAGGACAGACCCCGTGCCCTCAGCAGGGGGTTAAACCTGCCTCTCCCCAGTTGATCTTGCTCCGTGGGGCAGCAAGGGGGCTAAAACCAGCCAGCAGCCCCTGCCCAGACCCCAGGCAGGCACAGCCCCACAAAGGGGCTATTTATACCCCGGGCCAGCTCAGGTTCTGGCTGGCAGGGGCCGGGACGCCTCCTCCCCCTCCCGTGCCTCGGCCTAGAGAGCCAGGAGGCCTCGAGGCCCTCTCGGGACGTGCACAGCACCCAGGGAGCACCTGCACCCCGGGCCAGGGCCTGGGGCACCCAGCCGGCCCTGCCGTGAGGGAGCCAAGCTGCTCATGGGGGCTCAAGCCAGATGCTGGGCCTCAGCCTGCCCTGCTCCAGGCAGGAGCTCCCTAGGAAGCCGATGCCCACCTGTGCCCCTTCCCCCAGTAAGGCGCCGGGCAGACGCCCATGCCGCTGCGTGCTACCAAAAATAAAACCCCATAATTAAGCTGCGGTTAATTAGAGACAAGCCCGTCCCCGTCCGCCACTCGGCGGAAGCGAGGCGCGGCTCCGCGGTGGGGCTGAAGTGCCCCCCGCCCGCCTCGGGCTGACGTGACTGACCCCGCTTCCAGCCAATCGATTATCAATAAGGGCTCAAGATTCCGCCTCGCTCCACTGCGACCCCTTGTAGCCAGTAAGATGTCGAGAACGACCGTGGCCTCCCTCCGAGGCGGGGTCAAACGCAACGGTAGGTTATCCCAGCCGGAGGGTGAGCGTCCGTTTGGAATGAAGGGCAAAGCGACCATTAGAAGACCGAAGAGGGCCAAACGGACGGGTGAATTACCCAATAGATGCCCGAGAGTCTAAGTGACAGGCAAACCAGCCAACCCGTGCCCAGTGGGCGGGGCTCCCCGCGTGGCTTCCGTTCCCGTTGTGTGAGGGGCCGAATCCCAAACGGCCTCCGCGCTGCTCCTGCTGCCGCCGGGGTCTGGAGCCGGGCCTGGGGGCGCGGCGCCGTGCTGCGGCCTCCCCCGCTCCCCGCCACCTCCCCGGCCTCGCTGCGCCCCGGCCGGCTGCGCTCCGCCTCTCCCCCGCTTCCCTATCCCACTCCATTCGGGCCCATCGCTCCCCTCCGAGCCCAGCTCGGGCACCCCTTCCGCCAAGCCCGCTGTCCCCCC